GCCACCTGGGCAATCACCCAAAGTCTCATTTGCAATGTTGGAGTAACCAACTTTGGCTAAGGCCTAGAGTAACTGACAGACCATTTTTAAAAAGAAAAATTTAAAACCATCTTACCCTGTCTTGGCAAGATTTTGAAGGTTTTTTTGTTTTGTTTTGTTTTGTTTTGTTTTGGGTTTGTTTTTTTTTTTTGTATCCTGTTTGTCCAGTCTGGACACTATGCATTTTGTCAGTGGTCGGGGCGTGGGCAGTTCTTTGCCCAAAGGCCAGTTTTGCCAAGAAGAAAACAAACTCCAAGTGGCGTGTCTTCAGTGCCCAATATTCTCTCAGGAATAGATCAGTGCTGCCAGGAGCAATTGTGTCTCACATCAACAGAACCCTAAGTTATTTAAATGCCATATTCTACAGCTCTTTGAAGTGGTACATTTGACCATGCCCAAAGTGGGCCAGTATCTTAAAGACTGTTGGCTAAAGGAGTTCCCACGCATGACCTCCCCTTGGTGTGTTGCTCTTAGAGAAGTCACGTGAGAGAGATACAGAGAAGCAGAATAGAGGTCTTTTCCCGAGGCGGCTCTGCCTCAGTGACAAGCATGCATAGGGCACCCTCCACCTCAAGTCAGTCAGCCAGGGGACACTCTAGCCTCGCAAGTATTTCCCAAAGGACAAATCTTCCCAGCCTCACAGCTCCTAAGCATTGCCTAATCCCAAAGATTAGTCCTGGTCATTTAGACTGGCCTTTTAGCTGCCTTGCAGGCCATGAGAAAGCTAAGAAAACACCAGTTATGTGGCTAGTACAGAGCCACACTGCCCCTGCCCCCCCCCCAAAGTCTTCCCTTAGCATCCTCCATCACCCCAAAGCCCACCTGCACTCTGCCCGTGCCCTGGCCTTGCCTGCTCCATCCTGAGGCTCAGGTTGGGAAGTGGGTGAAAATCGCATAGAGAGACTGAGGCCCTAGGGTTAGGAATACTCTTAATTCTAATAAGAGGGTCACTCCCAAAGGGAAAAACATCAGCTGAGAACGTGAGAAATGGGTCTGGGGAAGGGACTGTTGGTGAGCCTTCCCTGGAGAGGGGACACAGCTTGGGGTTAGGGGTGCACACTTGTCTGAAGCAGTATGGTTTGGCGCTGCCCTGCCTGCCTGCCCAGCCACAGAGAGCGCATTTCAGGGAGCCACACTGGCACTGCCTGAGCCAGCGCAGACCACCTGCAGATGGCGTCCTGAACTGGCTGGTGAGTAACCTGTGGATGGAGCACCCACCCTTTCTGTACCAATGCGGCTTACAAAGGAAAGCATTTAACTGGAGCTGGCTTACAGGTTCAGAGGTTTAGTTCCCTATCCTCATGGTGGGGAGCACAGCAGCGTGCAGGCAGACATGATAACTGAGAGTTCTACATCTAGATCTGCAGGCAGCAGGAAGAGAGAGAGAGAGCCACTGGGCCTGACTTGGCTCAAAGTTCACCAGCAGGAACACACTTCCTCCAACAAGACCCCACCTCCTAATCCCTCTCGGGCAGTGTGCTCCCCAATGACCAACCAAACCTTCAAACATATGAGCCTATGAGGGCTGGGACCTGAACTCAGGTCCTCTGCAAGAATAATAAGTGTTTTACCCACTAAGCCGTCTCTCCAGCCCTGTGAGCCTTTAATAAGTAAGACGTGAAGGGTCTTCTCCGAACCCTCCAGCCCTTCCAGAGACTTTGATGGCCAAGCATAGGCTACAGAGAGACACTACCAGGTGCCTGGTAGTGGTCCTTTACCAAACTAATAAGTAGAGGGGCACCCCAAGACCCCCAGAAAATTCCCTAACCACTTTGTTCGACATCCTGTCCTCCTACTGACTTTTCCTGAAGACCCAAATTACCCATATCTGAAAAAAAAATATCTAGAATGCATGCAGAAAAGGTAACAGAAATGAGTAGTTTTGGCAAAAATATCCACTCAAAAGGAGTGAACAGGACCCTGTGGGCCACATTTTGCCTCTGAGGTATTTTCTGAAAATGGGCCAGGATCTAAATGCCAACACTCAGTTGCCAGCCAGCCAGCCATCCCACTCGTGATTGCAGACACCAAGAGGAAGTCAAGTCAGACTCTACTGTAGGCTGCATGGGGCTAGGAGGCTCCCCAGAGCCCCTCTTGCCCCTCCCCACACACACCTGGGTGCCAAAGACCAGAAGACCCTCACAGGCTCATTCCCAGCCCAACATGAGCATCACCCCATCCTCTTCTAAGCAGAATAGACCATTCTTCTACAGTGTTCCAGAATATTCTAGTGCTTTCTAGTTCATCTTCTTCCTGTATGTCCCTGAAGCATAAAGATACAGATTCCCACAGGCCTAGCATGGTGTCTGCTATATGATGGGTTAGTTAGGGTTTCTATTGCTGCGATGCAACACCATGACCAAAAACAACTTGTGGAGAAAAGGGTTTATTCTCATTACTCTTCCACATCACTGTTCATTGCTAAAGGAAGTAAGCACAGGAACTCAAAACAGGGCAGGAACCTGGAGGCAGGAGCTGATGCAGAGGCCATGGAGGGGACTGCTTACCAGCTTGCTCCCCATGGCTTGCTCAGTCTGCTTTCTTATAGAACCCAGGACCACCAGCCCAGGAATGGCACCACCCACAATGGGCGGGGGCGGGGCCCTCCCCCTTCAATCACTAATTAAGAACGTGCCCTACAGGCTTGCCTGTCTACAGACACGGAGGCATTTGGGGCTCCCTCTTCTTTGATGCCTCTAACTTGTGTCAAGTTGACATAAAACTAACCACTACAACTGAGCCCTTGTCAACTGAAACTCCAACACATTGCTTTTCAGTTAGAACCTTTCCTTCCCCATTTGTCACTAAGATAGCATATTAATAAAAATGTTGCGATATAAATCATAAATAACTTTAAAAGTTCCACAGTCTTTACAAATTCAAATACTTTAAAATTCAGCCTCAGTGGACGATGGTGGCACATGCCTTTGAATCCCAGTTCTCAGGAACCAGAGGCAGGTGGATCTCTGAACTTGAGGCCAGCCTGGTCTACAGAGGGAGTTCCAGTACAGCCAGGGGCTACCCTGTCTCAAAATAAACAAATAAATCAAGCAGAAAAGTTCAGCCTCTAAAATATCTAGTCTCTCTTAAAATCCAAGGTCTCTGTAAAACTCCAAAATTTCTTTAAAAGTTTAGTCTCCCTACTGTGGGCTCCAGTAAAACAAAAATAAATAAATAAATAAATGCTTTCTTATTCCAAGTGGGAATAACCAGGACAGTCACGATCTGAGCATAACAAAACCAAACTCCAATAGTGTAAATAACTCAGAGCCTCAGGGTCTTCTGGGGTCCAAAGGGCTTGCCACAGCCCACACAGCTTGTCTCCCAGGATCAGGCAGGCTCCATTCTATAGCCACTGCTGTCATTGGCCTTGTCCCATGTCACTGTCTTCAGAATTGTCTCCGCTGCAATTGGGCTACTTTAACCATCCACCTCTCCCAGACTCAGTTTATGGAACCAAACCTGAATTCTGTGCGACCCTTTCAGCCCTGAGGCTTCAGCTGCTACTGCGGCTGTGCCTTTCCTACGTTCTCTCCTGGTCTCTCACCGTGCCAAGCCTCAGCTGCTCTCCCCGACCCCTCCTTCATGCCTTCAGAACCAGAACCACCTGGGAGACTCTCACAGGTGACCGACCGAGTTTGGCTGTCAGCATGAGGTCCAGCCTTGGCCGCCTCTGGAACACGGTTTCTGTGTGCTGACCCGAGGGAAACACTTCCCCAGAAAGTTTTCCCTCCGTGATGCTGGTCTCAATTACAGCTAACGTCTCAGCCCCAGCCTGCCAGCAATCACTTAGCTTTAGTGATTCTGTTATCTTATTAAAGATGGCTGATTCTTTTTTTATTTAAAGATTTATTTATTTATTATGTATACAACATTCCTTCCATGCATGTTTGTATGCCAGAAGAGGGCACCAGATCTCATTATAGATGGTTGTGAGCCACCATGTATGTGGTTGCTGGGAATTGAACTCAGGACCTTTGGAAGAGCAATCAGTGCTCTTAACCTCTGAGCCATCTCTCCAGCCCCCACATGGCTGATTCTTTAGCTCACAGGTTCCGAACTCAAAATAGCAAAGATCCCTGATGGGGTCTTTAAGGGACTCTCAAAGTGCCCTCTGGAGAAGCCAGGCCTCCATACCCTCAACATTGCCCTCAGCATTCTCATCTTCCAAGCTCCCCCAGAACAGCTCAGCAAGCTTTGAATACTCCATGGCTTTTCCAACCCAAAATTCCAAAGTCCTTCCTCAGTCCTCCCCAAAACACACGGTCAGATATGTCATAGCAATGCTTCACGAGCCTGGTATTTGTTTCCGTTAAAGTTTCTGTGATTGTGAGGAACCCCAGAACCCAAAGCAACTGGGGGAGGAAAGGATTTATTTGACTTAAACTTCCACACCACTGTTCATCATTGATGGAAGTCAGGGCAGGAACTCAAACAGGGCAGGAACCTGGAGGCAGGAGCTGAAGCAGAGGCCATGGAGGGGCGCTGCTTACTGGCTTGTTCCCCATGGCTTGCTCAGCCCACTCTCTTATAGAACCAGGACCGGCAGCCCAAGGATGGTACCACATACAATGAGCTGGGCTCTCCCAACAGAAAATCCCTACAGATTTACCTACAGTCCCATCTTATGGAGGCATTTTCTCAACTGAGGTTCCCTCTTCTTAGATGACTCTAGCTTGTGTCAAGTTGACCGAAAAGTAGCCAGGACAGAAGGTGTGAATAGGCATTTGTCATACTGAGTCAAATAGTAATGAAGGTACCAGAATGGAGTCCACCCTTCACACGGCTGAACATAACACAGCCGCCGCCAACATTAAATAAAGTCCGATCTAAGAGATGTGTTCCATTTTGTTGCTCATTTTTCCAGCCTAGGTTTCTACACAATGCTGCTTGTCACATGGGACAAGTGGCCCCCTCAGACTGCCCCCTGCTCCTCCCCAGGTTGTGACTCGGAAACAAATAGCAGCAGATTCATAGATGCAGTCAAACCTTTTATTCCATTAGTGACCAATACAACAGCACCACAGCACAGCAGGGGCCCTGCCTGAGGACCCCGGGAAGGCAGGGAGGACAGAGACAGGGGCCTCCAGCCCTGGGCTGTTCTCTGCAAGGTGCTGAGGAAGCTGTGCCTGAGAGAAGCCGCTGGGGAGGGCAGGCGACTGAGCCAAAAGCCAGATAACCCACGTCAGCCCCCCTCTGCCCAGGAGCACCAGGGCTGCAGTGAGGAAGCTTCCAGGCCAAGCCAAGGAAGGGTGACCCGTTATAAAGAGCCTGCATGTGTGTTGTTATGTGAGTGTACATGTGTATACATGTGTGTGCTTGTGTGTATGGGAGGCAAGATGTCTACACTACTTAGCACATGAGATATAACTGCTAAGCCGCAGGACCTGCCTGGGAACAAGAGAAACCAGGAACCAGGGCCTCAGAGCTCTGGAGCCTTGAGAGGGGACAGTGACAGGGACCACCCTCCCTACTGCTTCCATTCAGAGAGGGTGGCAGCTCCTGTCAGAAGCAGGTGGTAGAACAGACACCGTCCTTGGGCCGGGGCAGAAGGGCCACCTCTGGCCTGGGCCACATCATGTGTAGGCCATCTTGCTGCATACCCAGGGCCGGGTCGCCAGACACTCTGTTGACACCAGCCTGGTGGGCTCCACGAAGACGCACTCGCCCATACCCGAGATGGAGAACCTGTGGTGGAAGAAAAAAGATCGAGGAAGGCGGGTGGTGGTGGCGCACGCCTTTAATCCCAGCACTCGGGAGGCAGAGGCAGGCGGATCTCTGTGAGTTCGAGGCCAGCCTGGTCTACAAGAGCTAGTTCCAGGACAGGCTCCAAAACCACAGAGAAACCCTGTCTCGAAAAACCAAAAAAAAAAAAAAAGATCGAGGGCCTGCTTGACCATCATCACGGGCGGTCCGACAGGCCATTTGGCTGTCCTCCCCAGTCACCAGTGGAGTGTTTTCCGGGACAGACAAGGGTGCGCCTTGCTAGTTTAGTCCTCCACTGTTCCAGATCTATGCTTCCGGAACGTTCCATGATGAGGAACTGTTCCACACATCTGTCGCCAACGCTCCCTGCCTTCTTTATTCTTTTTCTATCTCCTTATAAGATCAGCTCCAAGGTGCCCAATCCAGAGCTGCCCTCTGCCCACCTCACCTCCCACAGAATCCTGTTTGCACCACGAGGAAGCGTTTATCACAGCCCTGAGAGGCCGTGTCCGGGCCCAGTTCTCCATAGGTGGAGTCTGGACTACAAGCTGAAGTGACCTACCTGTCCCTAAGCCTACCCTGCCACACCACCACACACCTTCACTACCACACTCCACCTCCACAGCCGCACTCGCTACCCCCATTGCCCAAGATCGTAGCCGGATTACTTGGCCCACACAGACACAGCACCACGGTGCCCCCAACGCCATCCTCAGGGCACCTGCCCTAGAAGAGGCTGTCGTGGGAAAAGGTGATCAGCAATGCCAGTGGGCAGCTGTGTCCAGAGTTCCTGGCTTCTCTTGCCACCGTGAGTGTGGAACTCTGCTACCTACAGAAGGCACGCTTCCCATCATCCCTTGCAACCACATGCAGAGGCATGACTAAGTTCTGGCCATCAGGAGAGGCACAGATGGAGTAGTCACAGACAAAAGTTATCTGTGCCTTCCACTGAGAAGCTCTGTGTGCGGCTGGGCCACCAATTCAGGCTGGACTGAGAGGGAAATGCAGACACTTTCACGGATGACCCCCACCCCCGGCACTTGTCGTAGAGACCTATCCATTCCAGCTAGCATAAAACCATACGTGTCTGTCAGAGAGCTGCCTCTGGGGCTGACCCCTTCCCTGTTTAAGCTCCTCTCTCTCCTAGAAAACGGAGTCTCAGCTCACGTGTCTGGGTCAAACGGGTCCCCGTTGACCCAGTGGAAGTCGTCTCCAACTCTGCGCAGGCCAATCCAGGGCTCCCTCCGTGTGAACTTGAACATGAATTCCTGCAAAAGGAAGGAGAGAGAGCCAGGCATGGAGTGCAGTTTTGTCACGGCGGCATGGCCCCAGCCGGGCGCTCTCTGGAGACGCTGGCCCTGCAGAGAGTGATGGGTACTGAGACGGTGTGAGGTCACTTGAGTGAGGACCAATGACAAACGGAATCCTGGGCAGTCACTGCTGGAGCAAGACCAGAGCAGCTTCCCGAGCTGGCCACAAATGTCCCCAACAGCCTGCTTCAGTTACAGAGCTGGGAGTTTGGGGATGGTCCTCAGGACGTGTTAGATTTCTGGCCAAATCTTACCCACAACAGGTTATTCGACCAGTACTTCTGGGACTTTCTCAGAAACTGACACACAAATATTGTGCAACACAGACAAACAGAAACTGGCTTTGAGGCCCACTCCTCTTTTAGAAGTGCACTTCTCTGTGCCACAATGTCCAAAATGAGCAAGCGCTCAGGCGTTCCGGGCTCTTTAGCCTTTCTATTGGCAAAACAACTCGAGATGTGACCGGAGAGGCAGTGCTTGATTTAGATGGTAGGAAATGAGGGTTTGTTTTTTACATTGTCCAAGTGTGTTCACAGCTTCTAATCCATCCTCTGAATACTGAGTTAAGCTCAGCCGGCCAGCCTTGGACGAAAGTGGAGGATGGAGGTTCGAGGGAATTCACCATCGCCCCCTGACTGGACAGTGGCTGAGTAACTGGAGACAGACACCCAGGGGGTCACTCAGCCACTCCACTGAGTTGGCGCGGGGGTTGTGGGGTGGGAGGCGTGAGGGTCCCTGCTTCTGACCCAGGTGCTCACCAGTTCCTTCTGGCTTTGGACCACAGCCAGCGCTGCTTCGTGGGTTTGGCAGTATTGCCTGCCAGTGTTCCAGTCTCTAGGCTCCTCCGAGAAGTAGTAGCATTTCCTTCCGTAGAGCAGCCAGTCCTCTGGGCAGGGCGTCTCACACTTGATGCAGCCCTTGGAAGCTGCAGGGAGGGAGAAGGGGCTGAGTGTCTCCAAGAGTGCCTGGCCACTGCCATGTTCCCAGTGTTCCTGGTCACCGCTGTGTCCCCTGGCCTCTTCCCATGGCTCTTTCTCTCTGTCTGGACTTCAGTGCCCTTCAGAGACACTGCTGAAGTCACTGTGCCCCAAGGAGGAGTTCCAGATGAAATGAACATCAGGAGGCACTGAACAGTAGTGGTCAGTGTGTTATCATGGGAGCAGCAGAGGGGCAAACCCAAGCAAAGATCTCCCCCTTAGCCCTAGGAACTCAGATCAGAAGGGACCTGAAATCTACATCTCCGTAGCCAGGGTGGGAGACCCTGGCAGGACAGTGTGCCTTTTCATAACCACACACTCTCTCTCTAGCTAGCTCCACTACCCTCCTCACCACTGAACTTCTAGGAAATTCCTTTTAGATTTGAGTCCTGAGCCAGGTGGATGGCTCACTCGTGAATAATGACATTTTGCCTCCAAGTTTGACAGCTTGAGCTGCATCCCTGGGACCCATCCTGCACATTGTCCCCTGACATCTACACCCATATCCCAGCATGAAACGTAAGTGTAAAAGGTATTATTTTAAATGGGGACTGGAGAGATGGCCAGAGATGAAGAATCTTGTTCTTTCAAACAACCTGGGTTCAATTCCCAGCACTCACATGGCAGCTCACAACTGTCTATAACTCCAGTTCCAGGGGATCCCATGCCCTCTTTGGTCCTCCACAGCTCACACGTGCATGCACACACACACACACACACACACACACACAGACACACACACACACTATTCTGGGAAAGCAGTTCAGAAAGTCCATCAACCCTCCAAGACCTCTTTGTCATGGGCTAACTTTCGCTTTGCATCTCCTGGAGACCAGAAGACAGGTTAATCCGAATCCAGGAATTTGTTTGGCTTTGCTTTATGCATTTCTCCTTCTCTTGGGCTCATCTGAGGTTTGGTTTGGTTTGGTTTGACTATTTAGCTCTGGCTGGCCTGTACCTCACTATGTATACCAGGTTGGTCTCAGACTCAGAGATCTGCTTGCCTCTGCCACCCATGTTCAGGGATTAAAATCATGAGTCCACGGTACCTAGCTCATTTGAAGTTTTATAGGTAAGCTTTAGTTTTGAATTTTGACACAGTTTCATGTAACCAAAGCTGATTGTGGCAGTTTGAATGTAGTTGGCTCCCATAGGCTTATAGGTGTGGCATTGTTGGTGTAGGTGTGGCCTTGTTGGAGAAAGCATGTCACTGTGGGGGTAGACTGTGAGGTGTCCTGTGCTCAAGCTATGCCCAGTGTCTCAGTTCACTTCCTGTTGCCTGTGGATCACAGATGCAGATATAGAACTCTCAGCTCCTTCTCCAGCACCACGTCTGCCTGCATGCCACCATGTCCCGCCATGATGACACTGGACTAAACCTCTGAACTGTAAGCCAGCCCCAATTAAATGTTTTCCTTTATAAGAGTTGCCATGGTCACGGCATCTCTCCAGAGCAACAGGAACCCTAAGACACTGACCTCAAATTCTCTAAGGCTGACCTTGAGCTTCTGCCTCTACCTCTCCAGTCTGGAATACCAGGTGTGTGCCACTATCCAGGCCTTAAAGGTAAATTTTGTCTTGATTGTTTTCTCCTTTGATCGTGTGGAATGGTAAAAACTGCAAATTCCATGAGCATGTGATTTTTTTCTTCATATAAATGATTAATTAAAATACTGATTAAGATGGGGCCAAGATCACAGCATACTACCCAAGGGGCTGCACTGTCCTGGGGACCTACCACCACACGGACACTGACATATCACTGCACACTCTCTGAGCACACCTAAGCCCTGGCTCAGGCCCACTTGGGAGGAATGTCCATGGTATAGCCTCCTCCCTGGGCTCTCCTGAGAGACACCAAAGCCGTGTCCACACATTCCCTGACCTGCTGATCCAGAACACGAATGAAGGGGAAATGACTCCTTTCGCAACCTTATTCCAGCCAAAGTTGATCTGGCCGTGGTGTCCTCAGTCTACCTGCAAACACATTCAGACCCTCTGCTCGTTCAGCAAGTTGGACGAGGGAGATTTTGGTAGAGACTGATAGGGAGTGGAATTTCACCACTTTAGTGAGGCAACCCACTCCTGGTCCGACTGCTTCCTAAAAAGTAAAGAGGCTGGAGAGATGGCTCGGTGGCTGAAAGACAAGCTGCTCATGCAGAGAACTGAATTCAGTTCCCAACACCCACGTGAGGCAGCTCAAAACTGCCTATAACTCCAGCGCCAGGGGATCTGATGCCCTCTTCTGGTCTATACACACACACACACACACACACACACACACACACACACATACACACACACACACACACAAACATAAAATAATAAAAATAAATACCTAAGGGTTGAGGACAGGAGGGGGGGTGTGGTTCAGCTGACAGGGCGCTTGCCTAGCATGCACAAGGCCCTGAGTTCGATCCCCAGTACTGGCACACTCTACACAGACCTGGTGTGGCACAGAATACCCTTAATCTCAGCACTGGGGAGGTGGAGGCAGTCAGACCAGGAGTTCAGAGCCAGCCTCAACAACACAGGGAATTCAAGGCCAACCTGGGCTACATCAGTGCTTGACTCAAAAAGGAGGAGGAGGAAGAAGAAAAGCTTCAATCACTTCTGCAAACTCCACAGAGGCCAAGACATTTTCCCAGAAGTCTCCCCAGAGCACACAATCCCTGTGGGGAGCCTCCCCTGCCCCCTCTTTACCTCTGGAGCCCATTCACGACCACATAGAACTCCATGTTTGTGAGCCTCTCCCCCTTAAAAATGTTTCCCGTGTAGCATCCAGAGTATTCCCCTCCAAAGGATGCCTCTTTGGCATAAGGGTGATTTTGAGCTAAATACAACTGAGAATCAAAAATGCGGGGGAAGCTCCCTTCTCCCTCCCTCCCTCCATTCTTCCCTCCCTTCTTCCTTCCCTCCCTCCTTTCCTCCCTCCCTCCCTCTCTCTATCCTTTCCTCCCTACCTCTCCCTAGTCCCCACCCCACTCCGGTTCTCAGTCTAGGATCTCACATATAGCAAAGTTCATTAAGTGTTTGTTGAATGAATGTGATATTTAAAGTCTCGTATTGCCAAATCATCACCTCTAAGAGGCTTTGCCTGCCTAGCCTAGAATGCCCATGGCATTTATGATCTAATTCCTTGGTACCATTGCATGGTCCGTGTAGAAGTGTATTATTTCAGGCTACAATTGTATTAACAACCAACCACTTCTAATTTACTGTGTGCCTCCCCCGTAATCTGATACGTGGAGGAATGTACCTAGCTAGGCATGCTGGGACCAGGTGTGCACACTGGTCCACACAGCACACACAGGTGTGTGCTGCTGACACACTCTGACGTGCACACTCACCCAAGATGCTCATCACCACCAGGATGGCGAACAGGAGGACCGCAATGGCCCCCAGCAGCAGGCGTGTGGTGGTATCTAAGGAAAAGACAAACGGGTCAGTACCAGCTGCCACCTGTTGTCCTGTCTCCAGCCCCCAGTGCCGTCCCCAAGTCCTAACAGCAAGAGCCTTATGGGGTGGAACTGAGCAAGAGCTGGAAGCAGCCCTCAGGGTGACAGTGATGGTGCCAGCCCTTTGAGAGACTCTCTTCAGGACCACGGCCCCAGTTTTGTCACCCCTACTGCCCACAGACTCCTGTGGCAGTCACAGCTTTCTGACCTGGGCTCCCCTGTTGCTTTTCCAGCATCTTCCAGGCTTCACCCATTCTACCCTCACAGCCTGCGACAGGGTGTCTGCTCCCGGGTCCTCCCCCTCCACCCCATACCTCCTGGCATGCTGCCCACCCCTCTACCATCTGTCACCCCTCACCCACTCTTCCAGGTTCTCTTTACTTTTATCTGCACTTAAGATGTTTATGGTAATAAAGAAAACCTTTCAGACTTAAAACAGAGGGTTTTCTTATTTTATTGTGATACGGATTTATGTGTGATATTTATATCACATCATAAAATTTACCATTTTAACCATTTTAGGTGCTTAATTCATAGCATTAAGTAGCAGGCTAGTGTGGTCATCTGGATGCAAAAGCTTCGACTCTGTCCGCACCTACTAAATGGTAACTCCCACACCCATCCTACCCACCGCCACTCTGCCTGGCCTCTCCCCATTTGCTGGTCCTCCTCACTTCAGGAGTGAATCTTACAGTGCCTTTTCTTTGGTGTCAGGCCTATCTCACCTAACATGTGTTTTTGTTTGGTAGGTTTTTGGTTTTTTTTTTCTTTTTTCTTTTTTTTTTTTTTTTTTTTTTGGTTTTTCGAGACAGGGTTTCTCTGTGGTTTTGGAGCCTGTCCTGGAACTAGCTCTTGTAGACCAGGCTGGTCTCGAACTCACAGAGATCCGCCTGCCTCTGCCTCCCAAGTGCTGGGATTAAAGGCGTGCGCCACCACCGCCCGGCTTCACCTAACATGTTTTCAAGTCTCATCCACGTCATAGCACAGGACAGAACCTTACTCCTGTTTATGGTTCATCGTTTCACTCTATGGATATATCACATCCGGTCCATCCACTTGTGACGGTTAGTCTTAATGGTCAACGGGAGACAATCTAACCCACCCGGGAAGGGTTTCAATAAGCGACTGTCCATGCTAGGTGGGGTCTGTGTGTGGGTTGCTCTGGCTGTGTTCACTGTCATGGGAAGGGTCAGCGCCCTGGAAGGGGCACTCCTCCCTGCTTCTTCAGTTGTGTAAGCGTAGAACACGTGTGCCAAGCAGTAGGCATGCATGCGTCTCTTTCTCTCCGCCCGTAATTGTGGCTGTGACCAGCTGCTTCAGGCGTTGCCTTGACTTCCCCGCAGTGATGTCTCTCTCTGCTCTAGTGCACAACTGACGGCCCCTGCAACCTGGAAACTCATGTCTGTCAGTGCCGGAAAAGTTTTCATTAATTACATCATGCATGGTTTCTTCTCTTTCATTTTCTGATTTCCTCCTAAAAGTCAAAGTCTTCACATGTCTGAGCTCTTCAATTGGCCCTCCTCCTTCCCTCTTCTCCCCACCTGCTCCCCATCTCTACTGCTTTGGTTTATTTCTGGGAAAATGTCTTCAGCTCCATCCTCTCACCCTCCTCCCAGGTTTTTCATTCTGCAATGGTAATTTAAGGTGTCTGGGGTTTGCCCCCACTGTGCTGTGTTGTCCTCTCTTAAAGCAGCCTACTCTTGGTTTACGCTGTGACAGTTTCTCTGCAGACACAGCTGAGAGTTGTTCCAGCAGGGAGAGATGAGAAGACTGTGAGCTTCTCCCTACGCTTATTCTGATTCCTGGAGGGGCGTGGGTATTGTTCACAGCTAAGGCAGGAGAACAAATGAGTTCCCTGGAGCCTCTGAGTCCACTGCTGTCCGTGGGAGCATGGCAGGGGCTCTGGCTGGTTGATCTGGGGCTGTTAAATTCCTTGGCTTTTCCCCCACGTGGATTGGCATCTCCAGAGGAACCGCTGTTTTCTTGACACGGCAATAACTTGGAGACAACTCTTCCCAAGAAAGTTCGGAGCTCGGAGCGTGCCCTTCACACTTTGAAAGTGAGCTCCAAAGCCTGCTCCTTGTATGGTCCTGTATAGCAGCTCTGATTCTTGAGAGTGTTACCTCAAGTTCCTGCCAGAAATGGGGACGGGCTATTTAGATCTGGCTCCATATCTCTGAAAGACATTCCACACCCCTCTTTCTGTTTTCAGCCCACCTTCCACCATGCCCCTGCCCCTGTGCTCTGGGATCCTCAAATGTGGCCCCTGTGGTTCCTCTGCTGAGTGGTCTTTCGTAGGTGGCCTAAGTCCGTTAGCACTCAGTCCCTGTACACAAGCTCTTAACTGCAGTTCTCACTGTGATCAGCACTTAAATGTCCCTCTATTGTTTGTTAGCAGGTCTCGAAAGGGATAGAGAGGGCAATTCTGTATTCAGCCAGGCACTGGACCTGTGAGACTCACAAACATTTTAGAATCATTTCTTTGAGTAAGGTTTATGCACCAGCAGAAATTCGCTGGCCTCCACAGAGGTCTCTGGTGTCTACGCTGGCCTCCACAGAGGTCTCCAGGGTCTACGCTGTCCTGTACCAGGGGGTTATGCTGGATTTCTCTACTAAGCTGTATTCCTCATGGGGTCAACACTGAGCTCCACTGGACCCTACGCTGGGTTCCTCTAGAGAACCCAGCATCTGAAATCACTTCCCGGGTTCATATCCATCCTCTGGCCCTTTCTGAATGTGGACACACAGAAGTCACCACTGCCCCCATGTCCGCATCTACCTCTCAGGTGTTTATGTCAGTGTACACAGGGCCGCCCCCTCTGGGGGTCCGTATCCACACACTCAACCAGCTCTAGACTGATATGAGAAAAATTCACATCAGTACTGAACAGGTGCAGACTTTCATGTCATGTTGTTTTTCCTTAAACAATACAGAATAGCAACAAAGTACATAGCCTTTACATTTATTTGATATTATAGTGACTTTAGACATGTTTAAAGTGTATGAGAAGATGTGAGCCGATTCGGTGAAAATATGCCATTTGGTCTCAGGCACCTGAGCATCCTTGGATCTTGGGGTCTGATGAAGGTTTCTGGTACTGATGCCCTGTGGCTGCTGAGGGAGGACGGTAGAGTGCTTAGAACTGTGTCCAACACGGTGAGTGTTGACCAGCCCCGAGCACCTGATGACCAGTCCTGAGCACCTTGGAATTAAGAACCATGCTGAATTCCTTTGGGTTCCCTAAAGCAGAATTTGGCCATTGCGTTGCATGATACAGACTAGGATTCAACGCTGAACACAGTATTCTCAGTCAGCCTTACTATTCAACTGAGTTGAAGGAACTTGGTAGAAAAGGAGAGTGTGTACATATGTCCCCACCATCACTAAAGAGCCTCTTCACTTCTTCATAAGGATGCTTTCTCTAAACTATGCAGCGTGGACAGAAGAAGGACACTATGCTGGCTGGCCTTATGACGACGTGACACACACTAGAGACATCTGAAAGAAGGGGATTTTTGAGAAAATGCCTCCATAAGATCCAGCTGTAGTTGCTGGGCAGTGGTGGTGGCACACGCCTTTAATCCCAGTACTTGGGAGGCAGAGGCAGGCGGATCTCTGTGAGTTCAAGGCCAGCCTGGTCTACAGAGACAGTTCCAGGACAGGCTCCAGAGCTACACAGAGAAACTCTGTCCCAAAACGAAACAAAAAAGATCCAGCTATATAGCATTTTCTTAATTAGTGATTGATGGGGGAGGGCATAGCCCGTTATGGGTGGTGCCATCCCTGGACTGGTGGTCCTGGGTTCTATAAGAAAGCAGACTAAGTGAGCCACAAGGAGCAAGCCAGTAAGCAGCTCTCCTCCATGGCCTCTGCATCAGTTCCTGCCTCCTGGTGCCTGCCCTGTTTGGGTTTCTGTCCTTGAGTTCCTGTGATGATGAATAGTGATGTGGAAAAATAAGTCAAATAAAGCCTCTCCTCCCCAAGTTGCTTTTGGTCACAGTGCTTCACTGCAGCAATAGAACCCCTAACACAGACACCATACGACTCCCGACACATTGTTCGCTGTCTGCCCTCCTGATGCCTGAGGCTGGATAGTTGGAGTCCATGTGGTATCTACTTCCTCAGATTGCATAACTAAGGTGCCATCAGCTGGATGGCTTCAAAAGGTATCCTCTCACAGTTATAAAAACCAGAAGTCCAAAAGTTGAGGTGTTGGCAGGACCATGCTGCCTTCGAAGGCCTCAGGGAAAGCCTTCTTGGCTCGTCCTAGCTCCTGGAGTTTTGCTGAAAGCCCTTGGCTCATGACTTTACCATCTAAGCCTCAGTCACTCTTAGCACGTGGCCTTCAGGGGTGTAGCTGTGTTTGTCTAAGGACACCAGTTCACACTGGATTAGGACCCGCTAACTTCATTCTGACTTTCTCTTAACTAATCACGCCTGCCAGAACTACAGTTCCACCCAAGGGCACATTCTGCGGTCTTGGGAGTTAGGGTTCACCATGGCTCCTGTGGTGTGAACACAGTCCAGCTTTTCACAGGCACCTAACTTTCAGTCATCCCACCATGCAATGGCCTGTCCAGATACGCTGGAGTTCTCGGTGCAGGTTATCCGGGCTTCTAAATGGGATGATTTGGACTAATATTAGAAAGAACAACTGGAACTTCGTACCTCAGATCCCCCTCATACCCACATCCCCCAAAAAAGCACTTGGCTGACATCTAAACCATCCAGGGTACAGCCTGGCCAGCCATAATCCTGATTGTTTTAAAATGCTTAAATGTGAAACTTGGTAATTTTTAAATTTTTAGGTAGCTTTTGCCAAATGCATGTATGTGGTTTTGATCAGGAAGTTGTGGGTTTGTACCTAATAAAAAAAACTTTCAACATTAAAAATTCAGAATTGGTGACCACTGAGAAATCTATATAGCCTGAGGTAAGCGGAGTCACTCTGTCCCCTCTCTCCTACCCCAGAACACTTTGCCCCGCTCTCAGGCCCAAGGCTAGAAATAGCTCTATCTTGACTCATCTTCAGTGTTTCCAGACCCCAGTGGGGTAGTCTGGATCAGCTTTCCCAGCCTTCACCTGGAAGGACAGACTCACACCCACAGGGAAAGCAACCTTCGCCCGACCAACCAACGTCTGTTTTCTGTTTGCAGAGCTAACGGGTCACTGAGGACTGTCTTCTAGACCACGGCCTTCTGACTGGAGCTCTCCAATTCTCTCAAGCTGTGAGGAGGGAAAAGCTGCCCCTCCTGAGGGTGGCAGACTCTTCGGAGGGACCAGGAGAGGAGAGCCGTGTGCTCAGAAAGCGCAGCGGGATTCTGTCCAGTTAGCCTCTCTGAGCCAGTGTCCTTGATGGTGCCAGAAAAGAGGCAAGCTTTTCATACCAGAAGGCCAATGGCAAATCCCACGGCGGTTTCCTGTGTTAGCGGCCAGTGTGTCCTTGAGTGAGATATTCAACACTCTCACTCGCCTCATTAGGGCAGAGATGAGAGTTAAATGGTAACTAAGGTACACACCCAACTCCATGGGTGGGTCACGGCTGCTTGGGGCAAAGTTAGATCAGGGTGCAGGTATCTCTGGGGGCTCAGTTACATCATTCCAGAAACTTTTCTTTTCTCTTCAAGATAGGGACCAGCCTAAGCAGAGGCTGCAAGCCCACTGGGACCCAGGACCAGCAGATCTTGCTGTCCGTCATGTGTCCTTAAGAGAACTAAAGTGCCAGGCAAGAGCAGCCTCAAGGACAACCTCAACGGACTCTGGCTGGACGGCTGCTCCCTGCTGCTTTCCCTGACCTCCTCACCCAGGCTGTGGGGTTCTGTGTTCAGGGAGCTGGGAAAGGAGCCACCACAACAGAACCTACACTCCAGACCTCTCTCTGATTAGCACCGCTAGGCACAAATCGTGACATGACCCACAGGGTGAGAAAAAAGTACAGCCCACCAGTGGGTGTGGGTAGGTGGCTCAAGCTTACCAGCTCTTGGCCCCTTATCAAACTGACTCTGCCCTATTTGAACAGCTCTGTGAGGGCTGGATACACCCAGGGCCCAAGAAGGTGTCTTAGCACTGAAAAAAGATTGAACAAGCCAACTCAAAGGTCCCATACAGTGGCAGCCACCTGTGAGGACCAGTCCCTTTGGATGGAGATAGGACATACCCAAGGAACATCAAGAAAACCCTCAGAGGACCAACAGAACTAAACAGTCCTGTAGAAAGTCAGCAGGCCAAGATGCTGAGCACCCAAGAGCCATTGGAGGGGTGCTCTTATCTGTGCCAGAGACCAAAAGAGGACAACGGGGATATTAGTAGGGAGCCATGCCATTCAGATGAGACAAGGCTGCTTTGCAAGAAGATGCCAAGTATGGCGGTGTGCTGGACCACCAGAGAGGGTCTCGCTTTCCTCCTGCCCAGTGTGTAGCCTCTTCTTCAGCTGATGGGCAGGGCCAGTCAGCCACACTGGCATTAGAAGGACAAGAGTCAATGTATTAAGGGCCAGAGATGGAGCCAGAGCCAGCACACCACCCTGAAATAGCCTTATCCAGTGGGGACAGAGCAAAGGTTAGTAGAGCTGAACCTTTCAAATACTTACAGAAGGAGGAGGAGGAAGGGGAGGGGGAGTAAAGGAGAGAGGGAGGAGAAGAAGAAGAAAGAGGAGGAGGAGGAGGAGGAGGAGGAGGAGAAGAAGAAGAAGAAGAAGAAGAAGAAGAAGAAGAAGAAGAAGAAGACAGCCTAGAGAAGAGAGTGACATCAAATGGAATAAGTTTAGGTCACAGGGAAAACCCAACCACTAGCCAGAAACACACATCCAAGAAGGCTTGGTTGGTCTTTATTCCACCCTAGCTTCCGGCCAGGTTCTCCTTTGTAATAATAGCCTTGCTTCTGGGAAAGCCGTCTTTGCCTCCATAGTTCTAACCACTTTACCAGCGTCTTCACAGCCCACCACAGTCAGTATCCTGCCATGGCTCACAGTCTTTGGCCAAGGGTCTGCCATGCTCTACAGCCACCTCACCTTTCTCAGCACCGGTGGCCTTGTCCCCTCCAGACTGCAGGTCCCCACCCTCTTCACCCACTATCCTTCCCCTGCAGGTCCTCCCCCCCACGCAGATCTGTCCTCTTAAACCCTGGACAGCTCCTTCAAACAAGCAAACTCTGTAGCCTGGTCTGAGTGCTCCCTCAGATGTATCGGTTCTCATATTCTTTCTCTCCCTCCATCCCTCTTTCCCAATGCCTTCATCAGTGTCCGGCATCCTAGGGTTCAGTTATCCACAAGGGACTGGCTCGTTCTAGCCAGCGGCTCTCATTTCTTGACCTGGTACTCAGTCTGTCCCACACCCCTGATAGACCACCTACTCTGACTCCGCTCTACTGGGTAGAAGCCTGAGAAGCATCTGGAAGCTAACCCTCCCTGTGGCCAACTCCAGCATCTCCCGACAGCACCAGTCACCTGAAGGCAACCCAAGTTTCCTGAAAGAGCATGTTTACTTGAAGTCTCTTCGAAACCTCACTGAGTGACTGAGGTCACTCTGAGGTTTCATTGAGCCCGAGGTCACTCCTTGAGCCACTATGACAAGAAGGGATAGATGGCACCCCAAATTCGCTAGGAAGAGCCTCTGGGGATTCCTATTTATCATTCTCATTACCAGCAGAGCGCCCTTCCCACCCCCACAGAGTACAGGCACCACCTCGGGGAACTAGAGCTTCTGCTTTTACGAAGCACTAAGTGTTTTCTCTGCTACCGATTCAGGCCACCACTCGCAAGCAAGCGGGACAAGGTGCTTCGCAGCGGACCCAACTAAGGTTTGGAGCTTGGTGCTCCAAGGTCACAGAGGGAGTTGACAGCAAAGGTAGGTCAAGGCTGTGATCAGAAGTGGTCCCCAGCAGCCCCTCTTCCTCCCATGGTGACATCTGCCTGCCCCCGAAATGAATGAATTCTCCGGATCACCCTCCCTTCTGTGAGCTGTCAAGGTGACTCTGGCCACTTTCTGGGTCCCAAGTCGGGGGGCCGGGAAATGGAAGGCTGCGCGCTTACCCTCCAAGGCCGCCTTCCAGCTGGTGCTGCCCTCGTACCCTGACCCCGATCGCCGCAGCAGCCCCTCTGGGCCACGGGCCTCGGCCTCAGCCGGCGAGCGCGGCCTAGGTGCTGCTGGCGCGGGGCGCGAGGCGGGGGGCGGCGGGCGGGTGCGCGCGGGGGGCTCCCGGGCCGGCTCCATGCCGTGGCGCGCGCGCACTCCTGCACCCGGCTGCGGGACCGGGTCCCACGCGCACTCGGCGCTGCTTGCACCCCGCGGGCCTCCCAGGCCGACTCGATGTGCTACGGGGCCGCGGCGTACGCAGACCGGGGCTGAGCCCGGCTCCGCGCGCCGGAGCCGCTCTGGTCCCCGCTGTGCGCGCGCCGCAGCCTGCGCGCCGAGCCCCGCGCGGGGGAGGAGCCGGGACTGCACGGGAGCTGCGACCGCGGGCGGGGTTGCGGGGAGGGAGGACAGCCCAGGTCACCATCCCCGCCACCAGGACAGCGACGAGTCTAGGCGCTCCTCCTCCCGAGCCTCCTGCTGGGCATCTTCTAAAAAGGGGGGGGGGGGGGGGGGGCGGGGAAACAAGGCTCTGGGAAGGCTGCTCCTGGGGTAACCTGGAGGCAGAGCACACGGATCGGATCGGAGCTGAGATTTGACTCCCAGATTCTCAGTAGCTAAGAGAAACATCCCACACTGTCGAACTAAGGTTCAAGGGGACAAGGCAGAGCAGTGCTAGCTACTGATTCAGGGACTCCCCCACCTTCTCCCTCCCCTCCGCTCCCCCTCCTGGTTTCTGGTTTTATGTGTGAACGTTCGCAATTGCACATGGAAGCCAGGGGTCTTTATGGTATATTCACTTTCACCTTTTTTTTCTTTTAATACAGCCCTGGAACTCATTACGACATAGACTCACAGCCTGACTCTGCCTCCCAAGGACTGCGATTAAAGGCATCCACCACCAAACTAGACAGTCTCTTACATTTTTGAGACAGGCTCTCTTACTGAACGTGAGGCTCACCAATTCAGCTAGACTAGCTGGCCAATCTGCTCCATGGATGCGTCTTTCCCTGGCACCTCCCCTCATTTCTGGGTTTCTGATGCTTGGAGCCAGCCCAGTTTTCACAGGGGCGCTGGGGATCCAAACTTAGTCCTTATGCTTGTGTGGCAAGTATTTTACCTGCTAAGTCATTCCTCAGCCACTCTTTTGGGATTTTTTGAGACTGGGTCAAACTATGTAGTTCTGGCTGACGTGGAGCTCACAGTAGAGCGGGCTAGCCTCCAGCTTGTAGCCATCCTCCTCCCAAATGCTGGGATTACTGAGTATGTGCCTTCACAACCTAGCTAAGCAGCGGAGACGTCATACAGTAACTAGCACCCTCCCCGTTGCGTTGAGAAAGACTTAAGGACGCCCAGGGCAAAGCCAAACATGGGAGCCCAAGTCTGTCATTCTGCTGCCTAGGAGGCTGAAGAATAATTAAGAGTTTGAGGTCAACCCAGGACTACATAAGACTGAGGCCAACTTGGCTTGTATAGCGAGACCCTGTCTCTAGGAATAACAACCAAAAAGGCCAAGGGAGTTTCTGAAGCAGCCACGGCAGATGTGTGGCTGACAAGGCCGGATGTTCTGACCTCTTTCCTGATCCTCTCAGAGGATCTGCCCCAGCCTCAGCCTCCAGCAAGGGCCTCTTTCTCCCTCCCTCCCTCCCTCCCTCCCTCCCTCCCTCCCTCCCTCCCTCTGCCTTGTCCTTGTGGATGAGATGTGAGCTCTCAGTTACTGCCCCAGGACCATCCCTTCCTGCCCTGCTGCCGTGCTCTGTGCCATGACAGCCCTGGACTGTAACCCTCCAGAACTGTAAGCCCCATAAACTCTTCCACGGGTTGTCTTGGTTGTGGTGTGTCTTCACAACAATAGAAAAGTAACCAAGACACCTAGAATACACAAAGCCCTGGGTTCCATCTCTGGCATCTCAGTGTTATTAACTCAGTGTTATTCAAGGTCAGCCTCAACTATACAATAAGTTCAAGAGCTAAAGACCCTGCGTGAACAGTGGTGGTGGCAGCTGTGGCAGCAGCGGCAGCAGTGGTGGAGGTAGCTGTAGCAATGGTGGTGGTGGCAGTGGTGGTGGCAGTGGCGTTGGTGGTGGAGGCGGTGATGGTGGCGGTGGCGGTGGCAGAGGCGGTGGTGGTGAAGGTGGCAGTGGCGGAGGGGCTGGTGGTGGCAGAGGCGGTAGCAGTAGCAGTGGTGATGGTGGGGCAGGAGTTGTATTGGGAGGAAGTGGACAGTGGATGAAGACTGACCACTGCCTCTCCTTTAGCTCCAAGAATGGTCTGGAAGTACCTGGGTCTAGAAGTGCCTGGGTGGAGCACCAGGCTCAGAGCTGCAAACCTTGTCATGTTGATACAAGAAGCATCAAAGACATTACAGCAGGTTAGAATTAGTGACCACAACTGTAGGAAAATCAACTTGGGAGTAGGTACAAGGCTCCTTTGGAGCAGGAAGTCACCAAGGAGGCTCTTGCCACGAATAGTTGAGTTAAACAGGAGGGACAAGGATGGAGTAGCCAAGCAGTGGCAGGGAGCTGACCTTGCAGCATTCTAGCCCTGACCTGCAGACTTCATGGGCTGATCCAAGTCAGGGACCCAACCTTTGCAGCCCTCACAGCCCCTAGTGGACCCCTCCTTCCCCTCCCTATGCCTTCTGGAACCACTGCCCCCAAACCTGCTTGATCTCAAATCCTTACATCAGCTGCTCTAGGGTACCCAAACTCAGACAAGGGTGTTCACGACCATCTCAGCTCAGGGATTGCTGAGACCATAGAAGAGAGGTGTCAGGACAGACACAGCCACTGGGGTGGTCCTCATGCTTCCTGGCCCTGAAGGAGGCAGAGCTCCTAAGATGGCCCTCCTCTTGGACATGTGAGGCTAAATCTGTGCCAGCTACCTTCAGGAGCAACTATGTGTGTGAACACTGTGCGGGCTTGGTTCACAGGGGCAGTAGGATGCTGAGCCTCCTGCACGGGACATCAGAGTCCCCATGATTGCATCACATACTGCTAAACATGCTTGATCAGAACTGAGGAGGGCATAAGAAGCAGAGGTCTAGGTGGGCTGGCGAGATGGTTCAGTGGGGAAAGGGACTTGCTGCTAAAGCTGAGGACATGAGTTCAATTCCTGGAGCCCATGTGACGGAGGAGAAAGTCAACTCCCACGATTTATCCTCTGACACACACACACACATACACACACACACACACACACACACATACAGGTTCCCATCGCTCTCTGCTCAGAGGCATGTCCCTATGTCTAGAGGGATCTGTGCCAGCTGACCCCCATTCCTTCTTGCGTCTCAAGACTTTGTCCCCTCCCACCTTTATGTAACTGTCAATCCTGGCCCACAAACCCAGAGCTGGGGACAGGGAATGGCGTTTCCGTTTTCTAAACCAACTGAAGTGTAATCTTGGGTCACTGTCCCACTAGGGTAATAGGAAATTCCACTCCAGCTTTTAAACCTCTTCTACATGGAGATTAATTTAGACAATAATTTAAGTTTATTGTTTTCAGATCAGGGCATGGTGGTGACTGCAGATAATGCCAGCATTTGGAAATTGGAGGCATGAGTTCAGTGTCATCCTTGATTACTTAGTAAGTTCAAGGCCAGCCTGGGCTACGTGGAACTCTGTCTCAAAAAGTAATTTTTAATGTCATTTTCAAATCTATAATCATCATCCTGTACTTTACTCACAAGCTTGTATGCCATTTCTATGATCTCATTCTAGAAGGTTCAGACACAAAGGAAACTCCACACCCAACAAGCACACACCCAGCTCCTGTCCCAGGCCTGCCTCCCCACCCATGGGTTTTACCTGCAATTCCTCAGGACTGGCTTCTTACTGGTCATGTAATGTTCCCAGAAGCATCCATGATTAGGGTGTGTTCTCCCTCCATTCCCCTCCTCCTCCGCCGGTTTTGAGGGCCCTCATCCTTCCAAGTGGCCTCGAGGTCCCTAAGGGCTTAGGAGGACAGTCAGCCACCATATTTTTAAGTCGACGCAGCTGCCTGTGCTTCCATGACTACAGAGGCTGCCTCTCCTAGCTACTCTGCCCCGTGGCCACTTCAGTACTGTGTTACTGAGTGGTGGGCCCTGCTGTCCAAAGAAACCCCAGAGCTCTTGACCTTCCTAGACAGGATGAGTGTTCCTCACCTCACCACGCCCCTTCAGGACCCTCTCCTTCCCACCTTAGCACACCTATAATCCCTTCAGCACCTTATATTGGTAGCATAGGTAAGCCCTATTCCCAGGCTGCCTTCTTCTCTGTCCCACCAAAGTTCTGTAGGCAGAGCCTGCTGGAAAATTGCTTATAATTCACGAATATTCAAAAGAAATGAATTGTGTTTATTTCAGCCCCGCTATCTTGCCACCATCCTGGTCTGTCTTTTCCTGTGGGCCCTCGACATTTCTGGAATGCCACTGTTGACTGGACCATGGAGAATACAGATTTGCAAAACCCAAGCCTCCAAGGACAGACGGGACACCAGGAGGAGTTAAGGGGCCGTGGTGAACTCTCCACTCACGTTAGAGGGTACTCACTGAGTGGCAGCTGCCCCGGTGGGGTCAATGTGCCCCAGTTTTCAAGAGGAGCTAAGAACCAGAGGTGAGATGAGAAAGAACTCCCTTTCTAATACTAATGGATAATTCATAGTTTTAACATACAACATTGTATGAAGAAAAAACACACAGATTGAGGCAGGCCCTCAACCACCAGCTCACAAGATGGTCTGCTTGAAATAACACTTAATGTCAAGGTGTCAAAGACACCACATAGCCCAAGTTGTCGGCGGTTTCAGGAAAAATAGCGATTGGGCGAGATCCTGGAGACAAACAAGGCCCTAATGAGGCAGGGGTCTCCTCGCCGTTTACCGAGTGAGTCTAAGGGTGGCTTGTAGGGAGGTGCTCAAGGAGAGGGACCATCAGGACACGTGTGTCCACATGGATGAGAACTGTATGCAGAGTAAGGGTTGCCCTCCACACCCCTCCCCCCTTAGGACAGCCCTGGAGAAGTCTTGCTGCCTTCCTCCAACACTGGCACCCATCAGAAGCCAAGAAAATAGCCAGGAAGGCCGGGCATGGTGGCGCACACCTTTAATCTCAGCACTCAGGAGGCAGAGGCAGGCAGATCTCAGTGAGTTCTAGGCCAGTCTGGTCTACAAAGCAAGTTCCAGGACATTCAGAGGTGCTACATAGAGAAACCCTATCTTGAAAAATAAAGCAAAAAAGAAAGAAAATAACCAGGAGAAACCACCCCACTACCCTGGTCTCCTTCATATTTCCACAGGCTGGTTTTAGCTGTGGGCAGAAAGAGGGTCAGGAGCAGCCCATGTGTGCAAAATCTAAGCAGTCATTCAC